GTTTTTTTTTTCACATGGGCAGTAAATGTAAAAATTGAATTATTTATTTTGAATAAAATAACAAATTATTAATAACACTGCCTATATAATGATAATCATACTACTGTGTCATGTTACAGTCATCTCATAGACATCTCATATACACATCATAGGTTACTATTAGCGAAGCATTTTGTAAAATATGGCGCTCCAAGATTTACTCCAAAATTCATACTAAGAATTATAGTGAACTCTCCTATGTCAAATACTATAAATTATAAAATAATAAAATAATAAATTCTCTATTGTACCAAATTTTAGTAATAATGAAATTCCTTACCGGGCTTTTGTGCCTTTTACTTAGGTTGAGTTTTGTTGAGTTATAAAAACAGACTTAATAATAAGTTACTTTTAGATTAATTAACAACAGAATATTGCAATAAATATTGAGAATACAGAAATTTACAAAAACTAGTAACAAGCTGAGCTGTGATGAGTTACAGGTTATATAATATACGTACATTGTCCTTCAACAAATATTACATTTATTCAAAGGGGAGCTCAGATATATAGTAAGATATAGATAGAATTTCACTTCAACAGGATTTGTATGGGAAAAAAATAAATGAGAAGGGGTTGAGCCTTTCTTGTGAATATTTTAATAGAAAACAGAACACGAGATAGCGATAAATTTAACCCACTTCGAATAGTATTTCTTAAGTAAGTTAGCAAGTTATAAGATGTTAAATTAAAATTTATTATAAATTAAACTGGAATAGATATTCCAGATTGTTTTCTTTTTCAGTCATAATTCTTCTACAAGGCCAATTCTGCTGCAATCAAGCTGGCCTTATGTGTATAAGGAAATGTTATAAAATAAAGATAATTTATTTTATGTTATTAATTTAAATTTATGATATACAGACAATATCTACATTTTTTATAAAATAAGGAAAATTGCCATTTTCCATTTATTGTTATTATAAAGTCGCAACCCTGTCTTCAAACATCTACAATTGTTAAGAATGTCAAGGAGAAGAAGGACAAGGAGAGAGTATAATTAAATGGTTAAACGAACTTACCTTAAGTGAAGTTCAACCATAATTATACGAAGCTCCTTGTGCTAGACGGTACTCCCGGCCCAACCCTCCCTCGGTTAGGGTTGCTCATCTAATTCCTTGCTTTAAACGGGTGGATACAGTGTTGCCATATATACTGCTCCTTAAAATTTTTTTTTAGCGAGCTTGGATAAATTGTGATGCTGGCATGGAATGCGGCGTACTACAAATGTTAAGAATGTCTAGGTCAAGGAGCTTCGTATAATTATGGTTGAACTTCACTTAAGGTAAGTTCGTTTAACCATTTAATTATATAATATAAATAAAAGTGTCTTTCTGTAATAATGAAAATACTCTAAACGGGTTGTTTTATACGTGGTAGAGCCACGCTGCAACTATATTATGGTTGTAGCAAGAATGGGTTGGTTTGACCCGGGAAGGACTACACTCTCACAGAATACCAGCGTAAAATAGCAGCTTAATACTGCTGTATTTCGTGTGGTGAGTGCAGAGATCCGGATACCTTTTTTACCGGAAACAAGGCATTGCATCTTTGTTTTCAGGGGTGACTACAATGCATCTGCGTTTTGATTATATTTCTGAGATAAAATGTAGATGTCTATGGGACACAGCATCTACTTACCATCAGGTGGACTGTGTGTTCGTTTGTCACTCTTATACAATAAAAAGGGGGTTATTTGCACGTTGTTAAGACTTAATATAAATAACGCCCCATTATTAGATCCTTTCCAGGTGAAGCCAGCGCAGGTCGCCAGTTTTATAACTTATAGATATGCGCTATGCGCTGTTTTCACTACAGGTACCATGTATCCGGAAGAGATCAACAGTATTATTGCAGGTCTCAAATCAGATTCCGCCTCTGGCTGGGACAATATTTCAACCGGATTTCTCAAGATGGCTAAACAACTACTCGTCCCCATCCTCTGCCATTTTGTTAATATATGCTTTGAAAAGGGTGTCTTTCCGAAGCTGCTGAAGCAATCTATTGTAATACCGATTTACAAAAGTGGAGATAAGAAAGAAGTTGGTAATTATCGGCCAATCTCCTTGCTGCCTGTGTTCTCAAAGATTTTGGAAAAGTTAGTTAACAATAGACTTATACAGTATCTCTCTAAATTTAAAATATTAGCAGACTCTCAATTCGGATTTAGAAAGGGATGCTCTACGGAAGATGCAGTTGCCGCGTTAAGTTCTCAAATTGTAAATACCTTGGATAGCGGCAGAAAATGTCTTGCTGTCTTCCTGGATCTAAAAAAGGCCTTTGATACTGTATCAATCCCCATTCTTGTTAATAAATTGGAACAGAATGGTATCAGAGGTATACCTCTAAAACTTTTAAAGGATTACCTCTCTGATAGGACACAGATTGTAAGAATAGGTCAATACAGTAGTAGCTATACAAATGTTAATTATGGTGTACCGCAGGGAAGCGTACTCGGCCCTACGTTATTCCTAGTGTATATTAATAATCTGTGTAGTATGAGTGTGAATAGAGGAAGAGTTTTCTCATACGCAGATGACACTGCGATATTATTTTGGGGAGACACTTGGGAAGAAGTGCAATTGATAGCGGAAAAACAATTAGCTAAGGTTGCTCGTTGGCTTGATAATAACTTACTTACTTTGAATGTTAATAAAACTCAATTCATATGTTTTTCTATAACTAGCCGATCACAGCCAAAAGATGATTTTAGACATAAAATACATAAATGTTACAATCCTTCCAGCGGTAACTGTACGTGTACATCTATTGAAAAAGTTTCATACATAAAGTATCTGGGCGTTATGGTGGACCAACGACTTTCCTGGTACAAACATGTCGAATTAGTGTCTACTAGAATTCGAAAACTCACTTGGATACTTAAAACTTTAAGATATGTTGCTTGTCCAGACCTTTTAAATCAAATTTATGTAGCACTTGCTCAATCTATAATAATGTATTGTATACCTATTTGGGGGGGTACTTATAAAAGTAAATTTATTGAAGCTGAGAGAGCTCAAAGATGTTTATTGAAAGTTATACATTTTAAGCCATATAGGTTCCCCACTAGCATTTTGTATTCATCTTGTGGGGTGATTTCGGTGAGGCAGTTGTACATATTACTCACTTTGTTAAAAAAACATAAGTCTTTGTCTTTTAATCCTACTTACGGTAGTAAAAGAAGAAATTATAGTGTAGTTCCTATACGCAGTACGAAAACCAACTTTGCGAAAAATCAATATGAAAAACGATCAGAACACTTATATAATCAAATTAACAAAATATTGCAAATATATCCTTTAAAGACATACGATTGTAAGAAAAAAATAATGCAGTGGCTTAAGACACTTAATTACGATCAAACTGAAGCCTTATTAGAATCTATCCTATAAATGCATTCACTCACTGTCTTTTTTCTCATACGTACACACGTACATACCCACACAAACACACACACACACACACACACACTCACCACACACTAACACAAACATAACACACACACACACACACACACGCACGCACGCACGCACGCACGCACGCACGCACGCACGCACGCACACACACACACACACACACACACACACACACACACACACACACGCACACACACACACACACACACACACACACACACACACACTGTTTCTCTTATGTTAATTGTACTTAGTTAAGGGAGGGCGAGGGCCTTCTACCACAAGTATCTTAATACTTAAAAGAAGTCCTCAAACTCGTACTAATTTTAAGAAAATGTTGGAAACAATAAACTTTCATTTCATTTCATTTCATTTCATGCATCATTTCTTATATGAAAGGGGGCAAACGAGCTGCGGCTCACCTGATGGTAAGTGATTACCGCCGCCCATGATCAACTGCAACACCGGCTGATCACCACGCTGACAGTATAGACTCGATAAGCCACCATGTATAATTCTATTCTTTATTCGCAAGGACAGTATATCAATATTTTTACTATCAAAATTTACATTTACAATTTCGAAAAAACCATCCGGTAAGTTTGCATCAGTTGATACTTACAGAGATCAAACCTTGCAAAGGTTGGACACGGCCGTGTGTTTCACGTGAGTACGTATACGTAGTGAGACCACCTAAAATGGCGGCGCTCACTGACCTGACTCAGCATAACGAATCCTTTGATCCATGGAGTGTAGAGGTAAGGAGAACTGTCTCTGTATTAAAAAGTATCCGTAGAAAAGCGTTAAATAAGGGTGGCGCCACTGTAGCTAGAGGGTAAATATTAAAGAACTTTTTATAACTTTTAATTGCACAGACTTTCACCATAATTCTTTTTTTTTTTAAATAATTATTTGATTATTTTATATATGCATATTTATATATGCGTAGATATATGGATGTGAACAAGGCGAGAGAGGTATGTCAGGATCGTGCTAAATGGAAGTCTGTAGTCTCTGCCTACCCCTCTGGGTGACAGGCGTGAGTGTTTATGTTATGTTATTTTAAAAAAATATTTTCAAAATCACTCTAAACTTGTTTCACGGCGATTTTTTTCTGGGTTTAATAAATTATTTAGGAAAATCGTGATCGTTAATGTGAGTAGTGGAGGTTTAAAATACTGTAGTTTCATCAACTATTCTAGTTACCACAAATCAGCACACTTCACTCCGTCGACAACTGCTAAGTTCATTTCATACCCTCTAGTTACTCTAGCGCTGTTGCAGAGTTTTGAACTGTTATTTACTGCTAACAGATGGACAATTTTTCAACTATTCTCCCTGTGAGGTAGTTCTCATTACCTCGAAACTCCATGCTTTGATCCTTTAGCTATCGAGTGGTGTCGTTAAATTTGGATGTAGACGATAGATATATAGCTGCAGCACCCAACTGTATCCCCTTTTATCATCAGTTTTCTGTATTGCCTCCCATTATAGAAACAAATTTAAAGACGCATTCACGTCAAAACTGAGATGTTAACTACTGACCTTGAAGCTTTTTTAACACGGCTACTTCCATTTTCAGCACTTGCTTTGGTTGTCTGGCTGACTCAACTTTTAGCGCCACCTGTTCCTGTGTGACTAGGTCTAAGCCTTCGTAGATCTCCCCAAACCCACCACCTCCTATCTTCTTAACAACCTGCAAGGAAAGCAAACACATTGTTTACAGAGTCCACAGATAATCCTTCAATTACATACGATGTTCCAAGTTACTTGATGTAAATATTTTTTTAAAGGATATAAGAAGCCAGTTATAAAGTATAAAAGTTCACCGCGTTTTTAGCTTTCGTGTATGTCTGTTTGGGTGAAATTTAGTGATGGATTTTTTATATTTTTTTTTAATAGAATAAGGGTGGTAAATGATGACACACTTTCCACCTGATGGTAAGTGTATGCTGTGGTCCATAGACATTACATTTATCCTCGATTAAGAAACAAAACGCAGATTCGTTGTCAGCCCTGAGGAGTACAATGGAATGCCTCGTTTCCTGTAAAAAAGAGTGTCCGGATCTTTACACTCACTATACGAAATAAAGCAGGATCAAGCTGCTATTTTACGCAGATATTCTGTGAGAGCGTAGTCCTTCCCCGGTCAAGCCGACCCATTTGTACTAGTGTTCGCTGCAGTGTGGCTCTACCACGTATAAAATTTTTTTTAAACTAACTTCCCAATGAGATTTTTTTACCCCAAAAATTAATTGAATAATATACCTATTTCCATATAATAATACCTATTTCCATAATTAATAGAATCAGACGATACTTTGCGGAAATCAATTACATTAAAGATGGTAAAAACTACTTAAGCAGGTGAAGGAAACTTAGCGGTCAGCCACCGCAGTCTACTTTACGTAAGGATGCCACGTAGAGGCGAAACACGTGTCGTATTATCGTCGATGGTGTGTCTATCCTAATTTTAGGAGTAGTGGTGCTGGGATTAGTGGTGATGGGGATAATGCAGATAATTGAGGGAAGACGGGAAATATTTCGAAGAAGTGAAGTTCTTGGCGAACTTCACTTCTTCGAAATATTTTTTCTTATTTATTAGACATGCAGGTTTCCGCACGATGTTTTCTTTCACCGCCGAGCACGTAGTAAATCAGCTGTTAAAATTGCAATTTACAATTTCATTTATTCTGGCGGGGATCGAACCCGGGTTGCTCGTGTACTGTGAAATTTACAGCGACCGCTAACCATCTGAGCTACCACGGCTCTCGGATCACGCTCACTCATTTAGGCAGCACAGCGGAAACTTCCTTGCCCTAAATCCCTCTCAAAAATGAGATGAGGCCCGTGCCCAGCAGTGGGACCTATATAGGCTTTACTTAATAATATTTCCATCCTTAAGCGTCCACGTTTAAACTTTGTCACCCATGAGCCACTACCCCATATAATTTTATACGTGGTAGAGCCATGCTGTAGTTATATTAGTAGTATAGTTGTAGCACGAATGGGTCGGCTCGACCGGGGAAGGACCACGCACTCACAGAATACCGGCGTGAAATAGCAGCTTAATGCTGCTGTGTTTCGTATGGTGAGTGTAGAGAACCAGAGTTCCTTTCTACTGGAAACGAGGCATTCCATCTAAGTCCTCACGGGTGACAACGAAGATCATAATTTGACGACTCCGTGGCGCAGTGGCTTAGCAATGAGTTGCTGCGCCGTAGGTCGCGGGTTCGAATCCCGCACGGAACAAGTATTTGTATAGCCTACAAATAACTGTTCCGGGTCTGGATGTATGTCCTTCTGCAATTTAAATATTGGGTCGGCTCGACCGGGGTAGGACCACGCTCTCACAGAATACCAGCGTAAAATAGTAGCTTAATGCTGGCTGTGTTTCGTATGGTGAGTGTAGAGAACCGGAGACCCTTTTTACTGGAAACGAGGCATCACATCACAGTCCTCAGGGGTGACAACCTATCTGCATTTTGATTCTTGATTGCAGATAAATGTAGAAGTCTGTGGGCCACAGCATCCACTTACCATGAGGTAGACTGTGTGCTTGTTTCTCAGTTATAGTATAAATATTAAAAAAAATTGGTAAAATCCGCGTAAAAAATCCTTTCGTTTCTTTAATATAACGGATTTTCGACACCCACGGAATGAACCGGGTTATTGAATATTTATACACCGCCATTACATGGTGAACTAATTTATAACAAAAAACGAAATTTATTAATTCGACTTTGTACGTTGAAGGCGTGCCAAAAAAGATCATTACTCAGCAAGAGTTTTTATACGTGGTAGAGCCATGTTGCAGCTATATTATGACTGCAGCATATGGTTGGCTCGGCCGGGTTAGGAACACGCTCTCAAAATACCAGCGTAAAATAGCAGAATAATTCTGCTGTCTTTCATCCAAGCGTAGACAGCCGGATACCCTTTTTACTGGAAACCAGTCATTCTAACTTACTCCTCAGGTGTGCCAACGTTTCTGCCTTTTGATTATTATTCGAGGATAAATATAAATATCTATTGGCCACAACATCCGTTTACCATCAAGGGACTGTGCGCTTGTTTGTCACCCTCTATAAAAAAAATAATAGACATGTCGCTGTGTAGGAAGGAAAACAATGTTTTTGTAAAAAGGCTCATTCCTAAAAGCCAGCAACGCATCTGCAATTTTCTTAGTGTTGCAGATGTTCCGGGCGGCGGCAGTCAATTAACATCAGGTGAGCCGCAACATCGTGTACTCTTCTATATAAAAAAAGAAAAGTGTGCAGTGACCTTCCAGCGCTCCTTGACGACGTGTCCGGGCTGCAGCAGGTCCTCGGAGGCCATGGTGATGTGGTGCGCGCGCCGCGACGTGTCGCAGCGGGACGCCTCGCGCGACCGCGCGCCGCCGAAGTTCGGGAGCGTGCGCGACCTGCACGTACATCTCATCATCATATACATATATCACATAATTACGAATACATATATTGTGTATATTTATATAGTACCCGGATGACCGAGCTTTTCTCGGTTTTTTTTGACATTACATTTATAAATTACATACTGATGAAACATAAATAATATTTTTTGATCTTATTAACAGAATAGAAAAAAACTGAACTGGTTATTTGAATAAAAAATCATGAGTGCAATTAGTTTTATTCAAAATTTTCGTATTTTTAAAAAAATACTAAAAAAAAAGGCTTGAAATAATAGATTTTCTCACAAAAGAAGGAAACTTGAAAAAAAAAAGGAAAAAAGCCGGACCAGAGACAAGACGCGAACCACGGAACTCCGATATCACGGCCGACCGACATCCCACCTGAGCTATTACGATCGTTAGTGATCTGTCAAAATTTATATTCTTATATTGTAGCAGTTTTTTATTGCCCGAAAACACGGACAAAAGGACATTTTCTAAAATTAAATCCCAGCTAGATCGATTTATTCCCCCAAAACTCCCTGGACACTAAATTTTATGAAAATCGTTGGAGCCATTTCTGAGATTCCGATTATATATATATATATATATATATATATATATATATATATATATATATATATATATATATATATATATATAATACAAGAATTGCTCGTTTAAAGTATCTGATCATGAGGTCCTGGGTCAGGCCATCCCGGGTCAGGCCAAGAAATAAATTATTGAGTTTTTCCGTCAAGAAATTCTCAGTAGCCGCCCAGAGTCAGGAAGTTGGCGGTGTTTCACCCTCTGTGCCTCGAAAAGCACGTAAAGCCGTTGTTCCTGCGCCTGATCTCTCTCTGGTCGTGTCAGTTTATCGTCCCATCGGATTATGAGAGTAAGGGAATAGAGAGTGCACCTGTGCTTGCGCAAATACTTGGGCAATATAATCCTGTCCTGCGCCGATGACTAGACTACGTTGAGGCTGATCGCCGTGACCGAAATTCGGTCTGGAGGACATTATTATTATTATATTTATATATATCTTTTCATAATCCCTTTCTAGTTTGATTTATTTATCACCGCTTCGTGTATGTCTACGTCTGTTTAACCTAATAGGTGACTGGGGAAGAACGCCCTATGGCATTTACCGCATACTTTGTGCATGGAAGTATAAATAAATAAAACTAAATAAATAAATAATATAGACACGTCGTGTAAGCGGCATAAGAGGCCGAACACAACTGCTGAATAGGAGGTCCCGAGTCGGGCCAAAAGAATCAGTTATTGATATTGAATTTTCTCGTCAAGGAATTCTTATTAGCACCCGGGAGGCAGGAAGTTGGTAGTGCATCAGCCCCGTGTCTCAAATTACCATCATATTGGACTATCAAAGTGAGAGACACTTCACACCTACACTACACCTACAACTAGACAGAGAGAGTGCACCTGTCCTTGCGCATACATTTGGCCACTATATCCTGTCCAGCGCAGATGGCTAGTCTCCGTTTAGGCAGGCCGCCTCAAAGCCTGTCGCCCAGAGGGGTAGGCAAATAACGCCACATTAATAGATCCTACTCAAGCTGTACGGGTTACACATATAGTAGCCTATGGGGTTACCTCACATAAATAAAATAGCATAAACACTCACGCCTGTCACCCAGAGGGGTAGGCAGAGACCACGGACTTCCATTTGACACGATCCTGACATACCTCTTTCGCGTCCTTTACATCCATATATCTACGCATACATGCTCGTCGGTTAAGGGTACTTTTAACGTGGTCCATTTTCAAAATATCGCCAATTTGGTCGATAAACTTTTTTCTAGGGCGTCCCTTCCCGACTCTGCCGTTCACATCTGCCATATAAATTTGCTTTGTCACTCTTTCCTCATTCATTCTTTCTACATGACCAAACCACCGAAGCATTCCTTTCTTAATCCTGGTCACAACATCATCTTGCATACCACATTTATCTCTTATCATGCAATTTCTCATCCTGTCATTCAGATTCAACCCTAGCATACTCCTTAAAGACCGCATTTCTACAGAATTTATTCTACTCTCGTGCTTCTTCTGCCACACCCAGCTTTCACTGCCATACATTAAAGTAGGGACTAACACAGCATTATGAATTACCATTCGTGCCTTTTTTGATACATTCTGGTTCTTCACAATAGAGTGTAGTGCCCCATTCACTCTATTCCCTGGTTACCTCACAATAGTAAATAAAACATGCACGATTCATTCATTTAGGCATTGACTTATTTAGGTCACTTGTTCGAATAATAACAACTTATTCTAAGGGTCAATATATAAGATGGTAATTATAAATATATCAATATCGCAGTTTCATATATAAGTTTATTTATCTATAATCCGATATTTTAAAAATATCATCTAGGACTTAGTTTGAACTGATCAGTTGGAATGATCAGTTGCCGTGTGTGTCGTCCATTAGAAACAAAATTATTTGTAAATTACGCACACATGTATAACTTCCGTACTTCTGCTTATTCATGTATACATCATTTTTATAATGCCTTTACAATAAAATCAGTGTTGGAACGTCTTTCATTTGGTTTGTTTCATACACTAACTTTCTCTTACATCTCATTTCACACTCATAAACTGTAGACACACTACACAAGCGAAGCCAGGCTGGGTCTCACTCGTCGTAAAACTTTGAACTGGAGCTCACCTCAATAAAGGGTTGGGTTGTACTCTCGGAGCGCTGGCGGCTTCCACGCGCCTCTCTTCCCTCTGCAATAGACAAAAATTTTACTTTAGCTTTAAGCTTTAAAAAAATGTTAAATCATCTTCATCATTCCTATTACTATATATTTTCTCGTAGTAGAGCCATGCCGCAGCTGTGTTTCAAATGCTGAGTGTAAGGAACCAGAGGATTTTACTGGATACGAGTCATTCTATCTTAGTCCTCAAGGGTGACAACTCATTTGCATTTTCATTCTTAATTGAGGATAAACGTAATGTCTATGGGCCACAGCATCCACTTTACATTAGGTGGATTGTGTGGTGGTTTTCTATAAAAAAGCTGGAAACTACAGTTCGACGAAATTCAGAGATATTTAGCATACAAAGATATATGATATAATACGCCACTGTAGCGGGCAACGAGTGGTGACTTTCCCGAGGCAACGCCAATGTCACGTCGCCGCCGCGGTTTGACACTACAATCTGATCCACTCGTCAACACGAGTAAATATTATTGACGCGATCTCTTGATAACAAAAATATATTGTAAACCACTAATAATAGAATTACTTAGCGAAAATTAATTAGAATAGATGTATGAGCTGCGAACAGCAGTGCCAAAAACAAACATATAGATTAAAACAGGAATTAAAAAACTCGAAGGTTTAATAAAAATAGAAAAATTTTATATGCTATGTCACTTCCACAATTAAGACAAATCTAACGACACCCCATATGTTAAAATCTATCATGGCATTTAGGCTACAGATGGTGCTAAATAGACATACATACATACTCTCGAAAACATTAACTACTTGATCAGTCGGGTAAATACATTGAACAACAGAAGTTTACCACTTCTTTCGACGATACGACCAGCTTACATTATTGTTCTTTCGTAATATCTTTTGAAAATATCGGAAACACTACGGTCTCCTATGTTTAGATACACCACCACCACCACTTATCGTTAGGTGGTATAAGTCAAGCATGGGCATAAATTTTATACGTGGTAGAGCCACTGCAGCCACATTATAGTTGCAGTCGGGTTACAGCACGAATGGGTCGGCTCCACCGGAGAGCGAGAGATATTTTATACAATTAAATAAGAAAACATTTACTAACATCATGGTAGCGATTACCTCATTCCATTTATTATCAATCATATATGAACTTTTTATATATATAATAAAAATATATATATATATATATACTACCTTGCCAGGCAGACGTTGTGCCTTTTTCGACGACCATTCGTCATGTCCTATTAAAAATAATTAATTAGCAAAAAAAAATTTGTGGATAACTCATGGGCAAAAAAAACTATCCTATCTCTCAAGTTGGACCAAACTGCACAAGGTGTGCAGATTAGATTAAATTCGGTTAAATAGTTTAGGAGTCCATCGCGGACAAACAACGTGACACATAATTTATATATATTAAGATATTTGATAAATAGGTCCTCCATAATTTCTAAGATTTTTTGGAAAACCACGAGATTTACGACTCTTTGGAGTCGAGCAACTGGTATAATTCGTGCTTTATCCTTGTATTTACAGAATATATATATATATATTGGGGTTGAGCAAGAATGGATCGGTTCGACAGGGGTAGGATCATACTCTCACTAATTAATGCTGAGAACCAGAGATCCAAAATGATCGAGTAAAAATACTGGAAACGAGCAAACCCCACTGAGGACTAAGATGGAATGAATGCCTCATTCTATCTTAGTCCTCGGGGGAGATTCAAGTCTGCATTTGGGTTTTATCTAGAATGGATGTAGATGTCTATGAGCTACAGCATCCACTTACCGTCAGGTGGACTGTGTGCTCGTTTGTCACCCTTATCCTATAAAAAAATTGTTAAAAACATATCCGTCACAAGTCACAAGTAACATAAAATCGAAAGGGCAATAATTGACATTTTATTACCGGGATATGCTATTTCCTATACAAAAGCTTAATGGATGAAATCAAATGCCAGCATTAAAGACCTCTTTATACCTGTTTTCTTTCGGTAAATCGCAGCAACTCCTTTGTTGATGGTTTCACAGAGACATTTAAACAGTAGTAAATATATTCAAAGCTCTTTATCTTTACATCAGGAATATTTTATACTGTGATCTTCGTACCGAGCATGGCTATAAGTTTTGTTACACGATAATAATCATGTTAAAGCGGTTTTTTTGAAGCGACAGTGTAATTTCATTCTAATTTGTAAAAAGAACTTATGGCTATAGTAGTTACACAATAATCATAAACAACACTTTTGATGTAATATTTGAATTACAAAAGTACTCGATCCATTTGCTGGTAAGTGGTTGTGGTGTTCCAGTTCAGCAGTGTCAAATACCAGTTTTGTACGTGGTAGAGCCACACTGAGGCTGTACTATGGCTGCACTCACCATACTAAACTAAGCATTATATCTACTGCTGTTTTACGCTGGTATTCTGTGAGAACGTGTTATGGTGTTACGTCCATTCGAGTTACAACCAAACTATAACGGCACCGTGGCTCTACTAAGTCTCAAAACGCATACTTTTCAATATGTTGGCAACATTGGCAACATAAGACTCCATCACAACATTACGTCCCGGGGGTGACATCCATGAGATGCAAGAAGATGTAAAAACTTCCGATAGATGGCGCTATTTGTAACGGCAACGGGCACCAGGCTCTAAGTGTTCACGTCTAGTACTTCGATCAACAATTTGCCTGCCAAGTGTGATTATTAAGGTAGATCTTCCCTACACAGGGGACCCATGCCTTAATTCATGTCATGTCAACTTTTACGGGCTCATGAAGAATTCGGGTCACAACTCAAATATAAATAATGTATAGATCACAATTGCAAGCGCTGATTTAGCACGTGCTCGGCGGTTAAGGAAAAGATTGGTGAAGAAACCTGCAAGTCTATGAAATTTTAAGGACATGTGTAGGTATTCCACAAACAGAAATTAGAAAAGGAAATGAGAGAAGGCATGTGACCGAGCAATGGGACGTTTTAAAGATTCAACTCCACTTCTTTTTCGTTTTTTGAGGCTCACCTGATGCAACACCAGAGGAATCGCAAATGCGTCGCCGGCCTTTTAAAAAGAAGTAAGCTCTTTAATTGAAGGTCCCTAAGTCGTATCGATCCGGAAAAAACTCTGGTGGTAGTCGATTCCACAAGGAAGTTGTGCGAGGAAGAAAACTTCTTTTAAAAGGCACAGTGGTGGACTGCAAGTAATCGAGATGGTATAGATGGTATCGCGAGATTGTCGCGCTTTGCGATAGTGAAATTGTGCGGCTGGACTTAGTCCGAACATACACTATACATATTAAATATTTACCTATACGCTTGGTTTTTAGGGTTCCGTAGTCAACTAGGAACCCTTATAGTTTCGCCATGTCTGTCTGTCCGTCTGTCCGTCCTCGCTTAATCTCTGCGACCGTTAGCACTAGAAAGCTGAAATTTGGTACCAATATGTGTATCAATCACGCCGACAAAGTGGTAAGTGTGATTATTAAGGTAGATCTTCCCTACACAGGGGACCCATGCCTTAATTCATGTCATGTCAACTTTTACGGGCTCATGAAGAATTCGGGTCACAACTCAAATATAAATAATGTATAGATCACAATTGCAAGCGCTGATTTAGCACGTGCTCGGCGGTTAAGGAAAAGATTGGTGAAGAAACCTGCAAGTCTATGAAATATGACATGTGTAGGTATTCCACAAACAGAAATTAGAAAAGGAAATGAGAGAAGGCATGTGACCGAGCAATGGGACGTTTTAAAGATTCAACTCCACTTCTTTTTCGTTTTTTGAGGCTCACCTGATGCAACACCAGAGGAATCGCAAATGCGTCGTCGGCCTTTTAAAAAGAAGTAAGCTCTTTAATTGAAGGTCCCTAAGTCGTATCGATCCGGAAAAAACTCTGGTGGTAGTCGATTCCACAAGGAAGTTGTGCGAGGAAGAAAACTTCTTTTAAAACGCACAGTGGTGGACTGCAAGTAATCGAGATGGTATAGATGGTATCGCGAGATTGTCGCGCTTTGCGATAGTGAAATTGTGCGGCTGGACTTAGTCCGAACATTCACTATACATATTAAATATTTACCTATACGCTTGGTTTTTAGGGTTCCGTAGTCAACTAGCAACCCTTATAGTTTCGCCATATCTGTCAGTCCGTCTGTCCGTCCTCGCTTAATCTCTGTGACCGTTAGCACTAGAAAGCTGATTTTGAGTTTGGTACCAATATGTGCATCAATCACGCCGACAAAGTGGTAAAATAAAAATTGGAAAAAAATGTTTTATTGGGGTAGCCCCTATATGTAAAGTGGGAAGTGATATTTTTTTTAATTTCAACCCTAACGTGTGATATATTGTTGGAAAGGTATTTAAAAATGAATAGGGGTTTACTAAAATCATTTTTTGATAATGTCAATAATTTCGGAAATAATCGCTCCAAAAGTAAAAAAAAAAATGTGTCCCCCCCCTCTAACTTTTGAACCATAAGTTTAGAAAATATGAAAAAAATCTGAAAAGTAGAACTTTATAAGGACTTTCTAGGAAAATTATTTTGAACTTGGATGGAAACAACAGTACCCACTACCGGGAGCAGTTGCAGGAGCACGGAGCGCTGCTGGAGCGCGAACATAATGGATACCCACCTTTAAACTCATAAGTGGGAACACTTATTGTGACGGACGGGAAACTACGGAACCCTACACTGAGCGTGGCCCGACACGCTCTTGGCCACTTTTTATTATAATTACAAAACGTTTTTTGTAAGTTTACAAACCGTATTGCAGTACAGAAAGTGTACGAAAAATACACTAATGAACCAAAATACTGATTTAACAAAATATGAACGATTATGAGTTGTTTCACAGTCGTCGTCAGTTGCCGGGCGCATAGTTTTTAGTAAAAAAGGTTTTTATATGCACTTCGAATATAACAAAACGGATCGTAATACAGAACGAAATGTTTCATAAATATAGGAGGGCATTAGAGTCTAATCGACTCTTTTAAGTCAAGACTAAAAGCATTAAAGCACTAA